ATAAAAGAGAGTGTAGCGACTTAGTGAAGTGGTAAAGTTGTCGCACCTCCAAGTGGCAGGAACAGAGTTCAAATCCCACCGGTGACGAAAAATTCGAATTTTCAGTATAGTGTTACAGCAACTGTAAGTGTAAGGGCAGATCGACATCTGTAACTAGGTCATATCAGCTCGTACTAGGAGACTGTAGAACAATAGTATAATGTACAAGTTATATGAAACCAGTCGTATAAATCTGAGGTTGGTGCACATGAAAGCCCACTTGGCAAGATCTGAGTAAAGAGATAGCACAGATCTTTGACAGTACTACATAAAAGATTATCAACCAGAAAACTAAAGAACCGGACAGGACCGAAGTGTTTGACAAAGCACTCTACCAACCAGGCTGCTGGAGAGTAACTGAAGAAAAAAGACCTAACCAAGGAGACCAAGAGCAGGTCACAGCCCTTTCGGGCCATCTGGATTAGAAGTTTGGGATGATAGATATATGGCAGATAGTCTGTATAGTGGGTGCTGGGGTCTGGGTGAACTCTATAAGGGTGTAGTAAGTAACAATAGCAACTTCGGCTCGCAAGTACTTGGTCTTGGCCTAGATGTAAGTTACTGAAGTAGACTAGGTAATATAGTAATAGTGGATATTAGACTGCTCTAGCAGGTGATGCTTTCAAGAATGAATCGGTTAATCATACTAATAGTCCTATAGGTAGTATGCAACGATTCTGAAACTTGGACTGACTTATATATCACATGTTTTGGGTAAGATTAGATGAATTGGTATTGGAAACTCGGACCAGAGGGTTTAATTGAGTAACTCAAATAATAGTAGGTTATAGGTACAGCATCTAGTATAAAATCTAGTAATAGGTAGATACTTAATTAGGTGCTCAAAAAACGCAGGTATGGCTAGAATGTATCCTTGTCAGAATGTACTTGTCTGGGGCCCTCTTGAAAGGACACTATATGATTCTAATATCTAATAAAAGCAGGAAGCCGAAGAGGCTAACCTTGACTACAAAATAAGAAAATAAAAGTAAGTCTATAAAGTACATAATAGAAAATAAATATTTAAATATAGTATGACTAAAATAAGAAGAAAAGGAAAAGAAAATCAGAATAACAAGGTTAATAGTTTATAACAGATGATTGTTATATGACAGAGGCACAGAAAATTTTTTACATGATAATAGTAACAATCTCTCCTTGATCATCGAGCTCCCATAAGATTAATAATAGGATATCACCTGGTCGTTTCTCTTACTATAAGTTGAATAACGCTTCAAATAATTACTATAAACATTCTGCTTTAGAACTTGGTTTTCAAAGGTTCAAAGCTTATAACTACCACTTTCAAGGACATCATGAATATAAAAAGGCCTTTCCTATTTTTATTTCAACTTGCCTTTATAGGTACTTTTCAGAAAAGATCGATAACAGAGAATCCTATTGCCAATGCGATAACTTTCGATAATATGGAGCTTATTGTGTCATTCTTTTTGGTGCTTTTGGGCTTTGATTGTTTTTTTTTAAGCATTTAAATGGGCTTGGGATAAATTTTCTAGCAGAACTTCAATTCTTTAAAGAATGTCAGCCTACAAGTCTTGTTCATCTATTAGAGGCAATTTCGGACTTAAATAAATGACTTCTACAGGTAATAGAGCCTCCTAACTATATAGAAGATAAAACAGCTCATATCAGGTGGTGAAATGCTTAGTGGTATGATAAGCAAATAAAGCAGGAAAAACATACTGGTCTCACTTTCCTGAGAACTAGATTGAATATTTAGCCAAGACTTCGCATAAGGTTTGATTAAAATGTTTGACCAAGCCATTCTTTTGTGAATGATAATAAGAAGAAAACTTGTGGTCAACTTGAAATTAGGTACAGATGGCTTTAACAAGCTTATTGGTGAAATGTTTTCCTTGATCAGATAAGAGTTCATGAGGACTTCTGTGCCAACAAACAATATCCTCTATAAGGAATGAAGTCACTGAGATTGCAGATGCATTAGATATAGCATGGGCCTCAGGCTATTTGGTAAGATATTCTGTAGCAATAACAATATAATGATTTCTTTTCTTAGTAAGGGGTAAAGGATCTACAAGATTGATTCTAATTCTATTAAAAAGCTGACTGATTTTAATAGGATATAACAGTTTATGAGTTCAGAGCCTTTTTCTATGTTGGCAAGCATCACATGATTTGATATATCGTTTAATATCTTTGTCCATTTGTGGCCAAAAATATCAAACAAAGATTTGTTGAAGTATTAACAAGGTGTTGAAATGTTCTGATAAAGAATCGAAATGTATACTAAAAAGGACAGTGTTGATTTCATAGAGTAATAAGATTCTCAAGAACTGATAGAGTGATTGGCGATGTTTTTTATAAAGCTTATGGCTGATAATGACAAAATAACAGGTTTAATTTTGTAAAGATTTTTGTTATAAAGGTTGTAGTTCATATTGATAATTGGAATTACTAAGATATCTGAAGTAGGTTTGATATCAATTGTAATCTATAATAGTGAATATTTGTATTCGAGTAGTTGTTAGAGAGAAAAGTGCAAATTGTGGATGATTAATAATATAAGAGGGGAATACAGATAGTCAAAATTGAGAAATTAGAGTTAAATTAGAAGAAGAATTTTTATTAGACTTGGATAAATATGTGGAATGGCAATGATGGGCATAATGATCAAACTGTTGACAATTATAGTACGAGATGAGACAAGGAGACTTGGATTTTGGAATCAATGAATCGACAAGCTGGAAGAGACTATCAGCATTTGAATTGTAATGGCCCAGATGATGTTTGACTAAAAATTCGTACTCTTGTAAAGCCAATATCTAACGAGCAAGACATTCCTGCAATAGCTGATAGTGTAGTAAAGACTTAAGGGCTGAATGATCCGTAATGATAGTAAATCGTGACCCATAGAAGTATTGACGAAAATAAGAAATAGATCAAACAATACCTAGATACTCCTGTTTAGTCACTGAATAGTTTCTTTCTGCTGGGGTTATGGTTCTGCTTGTATAATGAATCACTTATTTTTTTTTTTGAGGATTTTTTTGAGAAAGAATGGTTCCCAATACAATACTCAACGTATCCATGAAGAGGAGAAACTCTTGTAAAAAGTTCAGATAAGCCAAGGCAGGGGCTGTGATAAGCTTTTCTTTGAGGATATTGAAAGCATTCTCTTGATCTTCCATCTATACATACTTGATATCTTTTTTCAATAATCAGTTACCGTATATTGCTGTAAATAAGCACTCCTTATATAAACTATTTTATTATAAATATATGCTATGTATAAAATTAGAATCTGAAAATTTTCGAAAATCAGATCAATTACAATTAATCAAGTACATACATATATGCTATATTTACACATATAATAAAACCAGTTATATATTTATTAAGATAAAGCAAACTTTAACGCTAATACATATATATATATTAGGGTTCTGCAAACCCGACACATGCCTGCATAAAACAAATAATTAAGGATAGCTGGATGTATGATATAAGTTGGTATATGTATAGTACTCAGCATGGTATTAACAGTGCCAGTATTATATTTTTAACTGGTTTAAGTTTCTACATAGTAAAGGAGCAATAGCTAAAAAAAAGAATTATTAGTTAAAATAAATAATTTTATAAAGTGTAAAATGTTACTAACAACAATATTATATTAAAGAGTTTTAAAAACAAAGAAATGACTAGCAATTGTGCACTAGTATTTCTGCCTGGCATAGTGCTAACAGTATTTGGCATAATGCTCTGGCATAGTGCCAGCATAATGCCAATTATGCCTAGCATATTTGCTTACAGAACTAACAGCTCTAAAATCACCAGTCTAAAAATTTTCTTAGTCAATCAAATTTTGAGATTATATTTAATATGAAAAAAGGTCAAAAAACTGCCTTTTGCATATTAACAAAAACTTTTCTTACAAAGTTTAAACCTTTTGCAATGCTATAACCCTAATCTAATAGCTAAATGTTTTTTCTTATCGAAATTTGTTTTCTTGGTTTTAACAATAAGGTCACAAGATGTACAATTTTTTTTAGACTAGTGATACTAAACTTATGCAGAACCCTAGTATACTTATAATGCAAGAAAGTTAAAAACACTATCGCCTTATATGCATAAAATAAAAATTAACTAATTTAATAGACAAAAAAACCAAATTTATCACCTTAGTAGCAACTTATTTCATGTACCGTATAGTAATGTAAAAGTATAAAAGCATTGCTTTTCATATCAAATAAAAACTAACTCTGGAGAGTTCAAAGTTCTAAGTTAAAGAAATCAGAGCATTTAACTTGTGATTCACTTTTGTGTATGAAACTCTTGGAGTTCAAGAGACTTGAAACAACTCTGTTAAAGTTCAATATTGTTTGGCTTTACTACTCCTGATAAGTCAAATCCATAATAATGATTGGAATTTATGACTAAATCATGTGATTCTGTATAAAGAAATTTGTAACGTAATTTAGAGCACTAATCTGATACTATTGCTAAGAACCCAAGTTACTCTAATTACTCAGACCAAGTCTTTTCATGCCTCAATCGTCACCTTGCCAATATTAGGGTTTGGTTGTACTGATTGTAGTGTTCTGGTTAGAATAGTTTAGTTAGGATTTAGTATTGTGTTGTAGTATATATTAGTACTTTTCAGAACTAGAGGATTATTTCTAACTTTACAACGTTCATACATGTATCTATATAAATTCTTGGTAAAGTTTCACATAAATAATATAAAATGCCAAAAAAATAGCATAATTAAAAGTATCAATTAGAAATATCAAATTTAAGTAATTAAATATATCAAATTTAAATAATTAAATATATCAAATTTAAGTAATTAAATATATTAAATTAATGTTTTTTTTAGTATTACATCTAATTTAATTAAACTAGATTCTTTTAATGTTATTATCTATTTATATAAAGAAGTAACATATTACAAGGTATATAGTTTCTTTTATATTCACATATTAATACAATGCAACACTCATTACTTCATGTTCGTTTATTCTGATTATATAGTTTTTATCTGTATTTCTTGTACTAGTTGTAGCAACGATTTTTTCGTTTTCTTTATTTTCACTCTCTAGTACTATATCATATCCTTCAATCTCTTCAACATTATTTGATTCAGCTAACTGATTCTCTAATACATTAGAAATACCATATTTTTCAAAAGACTTAATGATAATTTCTGCCAGGATGTCATTCTATGCTTCCATGATCCAACAGCACATCAAATCATGCTCTGATTTTTTTATTCTACCCCTCTTAGTATATTTGTGTTCTCCAGTAGCCATCCATATTTTCTATTTTTCACAAAGTCAGTTTTTAAAAAATTTATTAATGCTTATGTCCAAGGGTTGTACTATAGATATAAGTCCACCGAGAATAACACCCAGAACTGTATTTGTTTCATAACATTTGTTTTTTACAGATGAAGTAAGATGTCCTTCGTATGAATCAAAAACTAATAAGGATCTTTTTTCTTCTCCTCCAGGGCTTTGTTGCCAAACTACTTCTAACCAGTCTACCATCAACTTTTCATCCATCCAAGCATTTGCTTACATTCTAACGATTATATCAGGTAGATAATTTCCTCTGAGTATCCTTTTTCCTTTAAAGATGATCATAGAAAGAAGTTTTGATCTGTCTGCCAGTACTCTCAAAACACAGGTAAATCAGTTCTTATCATTGTTTGTTGTGCGTATAGGTATTGTTCAAGCATCACAGTTGTCAAGTGTAAGAGCACCCACCATATCGAAAGAAATAGAAGTTTCATCCATATTGGCGATGCAGTTAAATTCAAAATTATTGTTTCTTCGTAATTTATTGATGAACTCATAAAATGCTGCAACCTTTTCACTTAAATCTTTAGAAAGCTTTTGGGAGGTTTTTGTACGTCTGCAAAGAGATAAGTCAAAGCGATTCATAAATCGGGTGAGCCATTAACCTGAAGCTTTAAAATTATGAATAGCATTAGGGTATTCAAGTTTAAATTTCTGAGAGTGTAAGCTAGTCATACAATATTTGGCATCATTAGGTGTAACTGCTATTTCTCTTAAACGCCGATCAATTATCTACATTTTTAATGATTTTTTGGCAAGTGGATATAATGGTAAAGATCCAGATCCTACTCTATAGCTTGTTTTTCTTGCGTTTTTTAACTTTTCTTCCTTTTCTCTCCACCTAATAATTTGCGTATGATCAACATTAAACATTCATCCTGCAGTATGATTATTTGTTCTTTTCACATAATTAATTGCTTCAAGTTTTAGATTAGCAGGATAGCTTTTACGTTTTTCTTTCATTTTAATGAAATACAAGAAAGATAACTTGTAACTTCTTTTTATAAATTACAAAAGATGTATTTATTCATACTCAGATGCAATATAATTAATACATATATATGGTAGTTAAAACATAAGTATATTATTACTTGATGAACAAGCATTTCATATTATAATATTTAATTAATCACGTCAAGTTTATTGTTAGTTGGTTGAGATTCTGAAAATTAATTCTAAGTATCATGACTTTTATTAATCATAAATACGAAGATGAGTATTTTACCGATCACTAGTTGAAGCCAAGCAAAAAAGAAGTATTTTTTTTTTCATCTTATTTATATATATCTATTTGACTCTAAATTATCTATATCAATTGAATCACTTACTTTACACATACAATATTTAACTATAACTTAATTATACATATGATATTTAGATTACATATACAATATTTAACCATAACTTGATTACATATTTGTGCATTACAACTATGATTCAATCATTGATCAAACCAATGCAAAACTTAAAGTATTAAAATTACATATATGAATATCACTAAAAAAAAACCTGAAAATTTATATTTAAATTTTTGAGTTTTCTTTTAACAACACTCATATACATATTAGATATATATATGTACGTACAAGCTACTGATGTACAAAATTGCAGTTGTTGCTAGTTATAGAGATATGGAAGTCACGTTATTATAACTGAGATTGATCTCTTCAGACACCTATAGAAGGTACATAATATTTGTTTGTAAAATCAAGAAACTGATATAGGCTTTGAGGTAACGACTATAAAAAAAAGTATATATATATTACTCAAAATTTCAAATAATTCACTATTAGCAAAAGGCATATACTAAATTATAGAAGAATAAGATCTTTTAGGTATTTGCAAGTAATTGAATCATCTTTATTTGCTCAAAATCTAAGATAATATCGTGGTTACTAGTATCTGTTATGAAAACATTTCCTTTCAAACATTTGATATTGAAATTGATGTCGTTTTGCTCAAGCAAAATGATATTACTTATGTGAATATTAAGTCACAAGTTGATTGTTATACATCAAAAATAGTCAATGTATAATCCTTTGTGCTGAAAGAAGGTTGGTTAATCTTGGTTGCGCTACTAGAGATCTGAGTTTTGTAATAAATAACTCATTCAACAATCAAACACTTGCTCAAATTGTTCTCAGAACAGATACTTCATCCTATCTGCTTGGTGTTTACATATTATCAATGAAGCTTGATGAAGAGGTTTCAGCAGCTCATCTTGAAACGTTGAGCGTAAAGCTTACCAAACTTAATCCAATTCATATAAATAGAATAAAATCAAGTGTAGTCTAGTTCAAGTTATGTATTATGAGTGCTGATCAAATAAGGTTCATTATCATTTATTGGGTTGGGTATATGTTTTCGATTACATATTATGCAGTATCTTGCTGATTAGTATTTAGACGGTACTCATTATGATTGATCAATATAAAAAAAAATTAGAATGAAGTTAGTAGCTGAAACTGTCACTTTTTTTTCATAAGACTTAATAATTTACTTTAATTCACTATATGATATATATTGATACTTTATTGGTTAATATATTAAAAACAAATAGATAATTATTTTTGAATCCAGACCAAAATGTTATTATGTTATATATATAAAATCGGTCCAGATTCAAAAATAGTTACCTAAATAAAGATTTTGAATTTCTGTTCTGCTGATCTGATGAGATATAAAAACCAAAAAATATAAGTTTGTATAGCCTAATATGTCTTGAGCATCAATTTTTATTGAACCGATCTTGTTTATGATATATTTTGAACATCAATTTTTATTGAACCGCTCTTGTTTGACATTAAGCTTGAACTTAATTAGAAACTTTTAACAATCTAGCCGGATAATATAAGAAATATATAAAGTTATGTTTATATATACAATTAAACACAAAAATAGTGAATTTAAAGTTATATAATCTATAAAAAAAAACTTATACAAAAATAAGACTATCGATATATATTTAATTATAATATAGAATTATTATTAAATTATATTACCATTACTATATATAAAGTCTTAGTATTCTTAAAATAATTGATGAGATCAAAGATCAGAGATTTTTGGAATTTTTTAGATACTTAAAATTTTACCATAAATAAGCACCTCCTATTATAATTAAAAGAGTGCTTATTTACAGCAATATATGATAAACCTAGTTAAAAGAACTATTAGAGAACAGCTCCAAAATTTTTTAAGAAACCTATTAAAGAAAAAATTTCAAAGTATGATTATGAGGAAACAGCTTCAAATTCAGCGAAAAAAAACTAAAAATAAAACTAATTTAGAGTAGATTTCTTAATAAAAACTATCAGAGAATAGCTAATAAAAAACAGCTTAAACCTGATGAAAGAGAACAACTCTAAAATTCCTAAAAAATCTATCAGAAAACAGCTCCCAACCTGGCAAAAAGAATTATGAAACAGCTTAGCAATCCACCAGAATACAATACTAAATTTGAAGAGAGCTAGCTCTTTGATGTTTTGAAGCCTCTTTCTAATAGATTTACTAGAAAACTACCAGAGAACAGCTCCAAAACATCAAAGAGATTTTCAAAAGCTACCAAAAATCTACTTCAAAAATACCTAAAGATATAAATAAAGCAAAACAATTAGCAAAAAAAATTTAAAAAGAAACTATAATTGCTATTAAAGTACTAGCTAAAAAAATAAAAGTAAAAAAATTATTACAGTATTATATAAAATAGAAATACAAAAAAAAAAACAATTGAATCATCAAAATTTTGGATAATTGATCAAAGATGAACGAATCGAATCATCTTAATAAAACTGTAACATGCTGTAAATTACAGTATCTCTAACTATAAAATAATTATAATGAGTTATTGCAAATATAACTTTAGTTAGAGTCTATTATGATACATACATATATAAGTAATGGTAAAGGAGTGACGATTTGCCTCATTTATTCAAATATATTAATTTATTTTGAAATATTTTGAAATATATTTTACTAAAAACTTTCAAAATAAATTTTGAAAAATTTCAGAGTGCACCAGGGTGACCACCAAAATTATGGATCAGATGATCTGTGCCACAGCTGCAGCACAGATGAGACTTCCAATAAAATTTGTGTTGTGCGACCTTCATATTAAATGGTCAACTCTTCCTAAAATATCTTCATATATCAGATATAAAACATTCGATTTGGTAGAATTATTTGGTTAAGTACTCATTCTTGCAAGTTCTTATGAACTCTAATCATTTAAAAAGCAAAAGAAACGATTTAACTAATGTTTTATAAATGGCTTAAGTTTGATATAAAAGACGAAAACTGTATAACATATAAGTGACAAAAAGGGAAAACCTTGTCACTCATTATCGAGATGAGTGAAATGATTTACAGATTTTCCCTTTTTGTCACTTATATTTGAGGTATAAAAATTTATAAAAGAACATTATAAAGTATATAAATGTTTATTTGCGCCTGGTACATTAATTTTTTTTAAAACAATATAAATATTTAATCCTTTTACTCATCTACTAATGTATTTATTTTTTTAATTTACATCATTATTAGTTATGCTCTCTATTATTTTTGATTTATTTGAGAGAGGTAAATATATTAAATATGGCTTTTTATTTATTGGAGCCCAAGTAGCCTGTCTAGCCTTTTTCTCTCTACTGATTCTATTTCTTCTTTCATATCTGCTAATTTGCTCCAGTTTATTATTGCACGGACATGACGCCAGTTATTAGCTGATCGTTCAGTACGCATCTGCTTTACCGCTTGCTCAATTAGAGACCATTTCTCTTCAATATAATCATGAACTTCTTTTTCTGGATTCTTAACAATATTATCGAAAGATTCAGAAGGGAAAATGGTAGTGGTTATAGGTATAGAACATATAAATTTATTATAATTGAGATCCTTTATGATAAGAAAAGATGGTGTAGTTCGGCGTTCAAAATTTTCTCTAATTAATCGCCTTCTCATTCTATTGGGTATATTAATAACCTGCTGAACCAAGTGCTTACACATTAAAAAATGACTTTTAACAAAAGCAGGACAACTGCAAACCCAACGAGAAACTTCTATAAAATATGATCTAGGTAAGTCAGTTGACTGTGGATTAGCTAGTTTTTTTTGCCCTTATTATTTTTATTTATACGCATTCCTATCCGACGTTCATCACTTGCACCTAGATAATTCTATTCACTCTTGAAAGCCTCCCACCAACGCAGATTTATTGTACCATTGAGAACTTGAGAAAGATGATCATTTTGTGTTGATATTACTTCATCAAGCAAAGTCCAAAACATAAGATCTAATCTTGGACTACTAAACCGATGTAAATAACATTGTTTAATCACACTCCAGTGTGCTTCGATCTTCATCGTTGTTTTGCTAAAAGGTATTGTAGGTCTAACTGAATGTGCCCAGAGGTCCCATCGACTAGGTGTATACCAATTGGTCCAGAGGTATGACCATAAAACCCGTAAACTATTTTCGACGCAAAATTGATACATTTTATATACAGCAATTCTCCTGATGTCAACCGGTGACAACATGCCTTCTTGAGTATCAACTGTTGTTGAGATTGGTAGTCAGATGAAAAAGAAAATAGGGCAGAGAAATTAGGCTTTTTTTATTTAACTAACAAATATACATCGCTCTGGTTATACCAATATTTTTGGAACATTAGTAAAAAAAAATTCTATTTATGTATATATATCTTTTTTTTTAATACTAATATCTCAAAAATGTCGATATAACCAGAGCGATGTGTATTTAATTAAAATTTAAATTGAATTTAACATATATAGTATTAGTGGGTGCATGTTATAATGTTTCTTAACCAATTTCACGATTTGTTCATGGTAGGTTATGGGACAAAAAACATAATTTTGTGGATCTCAATCATATTCTTTTGGATAAAATGTGGGATCAATAAAACCAAATTCATTTGTCGCTTGATTCACATTGTAAGTTATAGATAT